TATCACTGAAAACTCTAATAACTATTAAACAAATGTAGTTGTCGTGTTGCTCTCTCATCTGCCTGTACTCTCTTAATATGAACCATATTTTCTGCTTAATATTCACTAACAAAAATGCTATTGGCTTAAATTTATGCCTGCACAAGATAATGATGTCATCAGCCACAGGTTGTCATTGGGGGTGGTTTAAGGCTCCATCTGTCCGGAGGCTCCCAAAGGCTTCACCAGGTCAAAAGGGATTCCATCAGGAATAGGAAAAATGTTGTGAGTGATAAAAGCCTATGACTGGTGACAGCATCAGCTTGGGCAGATATAATTTTTTGAAATAGGATTTCTGCCCATGTATATATCTTTATTTTCATTTGTGATTGTGGAATTGTTAATTTTATCTCTACTTTAACTTTTTGGAAGTGGTACTTTGAATGACCTCACAAACGTAGAAGTGAATTAACTATACATGCAGTGATTTTTTTTTTACAACATTCTAGGCATACATGTAGAAGGAGGGAATGTTGTTCTTTTTACTTTGTCTTCATTCACTTTGGCCAAAAATTATTACAAGTATCTCCTCTCTTGCTCTCTCCCCGTTCATTTTCAACTCATCTCAAAGCATGGCCACTCCCTGACTGGCATGACTAGGATATCACTATGCATACAAACTCTAGTTTATTCACAGGTGCCTTCAGGATTAAATCCCAGTTTGTTCAGTGGGCTTATTCGCTTGAAACTGTTCATAAAGTCTACTTCTTAGTTACTCGCTGAAGAACAATCTTCCAAAGACAGCTTACCTTGAAAGCAATACATAAACTAATTTGGCCAAAATCCATTGGAGAATAATTGCACATTTAAGAATAATCATAACCCTTTTTCCCCCTTTCTGCGAGATCCCCTTAAAGGAGCTGTTTACACAACCAACTATATTGTGAATTTTGTCGCCAGTGGAAGACTGCACACAAAGGGGAACCTACAAGGAGAAGGGAAATGCTGATGATCATCCTTACTCGTTCACATGAGCAAACAGGAACCTGACTGTTCAGAATACACTCTTTTTAAAAACAAAACCAGTTTCAAAAAATGGTGTTTTAAAATGCTCATCAGCAAAGAATGCCATTTAAAAATCCATTTAGATCCAGAGAAGAACAGATGGCTTCACTTAGACACAAATGAGATCATCTATATAAATCTTGAGAGGGCATTTCATAAGTATCGTCCACCACTGAGAAAACCCTGTCTCTCCATATTTTAGGGTTGCAGTATCTGTATTTAATATTGCAAACATTTTGTCTTTGATCACAGCAGTGTTCTATTTTCTGTTTGAAAATAACAGTAAGAGGGCCTGACAATTAACCTTCTGTACACTTTTCTGTTTGAATTTCACTCCTGCCTTCTCAGGGCCTTAGAGGGGACTTATTGCGATGAAAAGAAAATTATATCCCCCTGCTACGATTTGCTCCTCATTCAGAATATCATCAGAATAGGCAACTGGCAAAGGTATAGGATTGTGCTGAAAAGATTAAGAATTGTGTTTGGAATGTTTCAAGCCTTGAAAGACTGTGTTGTTTCTAAAAAGATATGAGCTGAAAATAATGTGATGGGTATCTCTGCTCCACTTAAGCCTCTAGTGTAATGTACAAGCACAGCACGCTACTTGTGATTCCAATGTCTAGTGAATCAAACAGGGACAAAGACATGTTCATTCTCTCTACCCTGTTTCCCTGAAAATAAGACCTAACTGGAAAATAAGCCCTAGTATATTTTTTCAGGATGCTCGTAATATAAGACCTACCCCCAAAATAAGCCCTAGTTAATTGAAAGCCCGCCCTCCACCATTGTGCAGCAACCAGATTCCTTGATTTTCATATAAGAATATAAAATTATTTTAATAATTTGTTTGAAGCACTGCAAGGCTGGTTTGCTGTGATCCTGGATCCATTTCAGTCAGGCTTCAGGCCACGCCCTGGTACAAAAACGGCATTACTCACCCTGTTTGATGACCTGCTGAGGGAGGCTGATGGGGGTAAACAGTCTCTGTTGTTCCTTCTCAATATCTCAGCCGCCTTCGATACCATTGACCACAGTATCCTCCTGGGGAGATTCTCTGAGCTGGGAATCTGTGGTCTGGTGCTAGCCTGCCTCCGATCCTTCTTGGAGGACAGTCCCCAGAGAGTACAGCTTGAGAAGAGTGTATCGGCTCAGTGGAATCTTAATTATGGGGTTCCACAGGGCTCGATTATCTCCCCAGTGCTGTTTAATATCTACATGAAGCTGCTGGGTTGGGTCATCAGGAGGTATGGGGCTTTGTATCATCAGTAAATTGATGACACCCCGCTCTACATCTCGTTTTCTCCTACAACAGTGGATACTGCTGATGACACCCTGCTCTACATCTCTTTTTCTCCTACAACAGTGTCCCTTCAGCACTGTCTGGAAGCTGTATTGAAATGGATGTAGGTAAATGGTCTGAGGCTGAACCCAGACAAGATAGAAGTCCTGAGGGTGGGTGGCCCCAATGTCAGTGGTTTGTGGAACTCCCTCTCTTTTGGGGGTGTGACTCTCACCACAAGGAATTCGGTTTGCAGTCTGGGGGTGACACAAAGAATTCGGTTTGCAGTCTGGGGGTGAATCCTGACCCAGCACTTACCATGGAGACCCAGGTAGTGTCAGTGGTTCATACTGCCTATTTCCATCTTTAGCGGATTCCATCTTCAGCTGCATCCCTATCTCAATGGTAGGGCACTCACCACTCTGGTCCATGCACTTGTAATCTCGAGATTAGACTACTGTAATGCGCTCTATGTGGGACTACCTTTGAGATTGATGCGGAAGCTTCAAATGGTGCAGAATGTGGTGGCCAGACTTCTTACTAGAGTGAGAAAACATCAACATATCTCCCCTACTCTGGCTACCCTGCATTGGCTGCCCGTTCATTTCCACAGTGATTTCAAAGTACGAATGATGACATATAAAGCCCTAAATGGTTTAGGAACTCAATATCTTGTGGAACGCCTTCTCCCACCTATATCTACCGGTAAATGGTGCAGAATGTGGTGGCCAGACTTCTTACTAGAGTGAGAAAACATCAACATATCTCCCCTACTCTGGCTACCCTGCATTGGCTGCCCGTTCATTTCCACAGTGATTTCAAAGTACGAATGATGACATATAAAGCCCTAAATGGTTTAGGAACTCAATATCTTGTGGAACGCCTTCTCCCACCTATATCTACCCGTATCACTCGCTTTAGTCAAGGTGGGCAGCTGATGGGCCTAATGCTGAGGGAGGCCTGAAGAGAAAGAACAAGAAAGTGGGCCTTCTTGGCAGTGGCCCCTCACCTCTGGAACAGTCTCCCCCCAGAAATTTGTCTGGCTCCCTCGCTGGGTGTTTTTAAAAGACCTGGCTCATTAGGCAGGCCTTCCCTCCTGTCAACACTTATCTTCAATTGTATTAATGCTGTTGTATTTAATTTTATTATTCTTGAGTGTTGTTAGCCGCCCAGAGTAGAATGCGGTCTAGATGAGTGGGATATAATTTAAATAAATAAATAAAAATAAATCCTTATTGTACCTCTTCTGCATAGTTCTCATTGTCGTGGTTGTTCTTCACACATTATCCTGTTCCTGTTTCTCAGTTCTGTCCTCCGGTTGACCAGTGTCACCCAGCGGAAAAGAGCATTGGATATGGAATGGAGATTTTTATCAGCTGATGGTGTTGATCTATGTATCCCTATACAATGCCTGTTGAAAAAAATTACAAACATACCGGTTAGAACTCTATTGATGATTTACACTGGTGTAAGGGAAATCACCTAAGACTTGGTGATGAACCACTACTCATTAACAAGATAGAGTTTTTATTCCTTGCTAAGCATGCATCTGATAATACAGTCAGCTGCATGTGCAGGAAATCAGCCAGCATCTTGTTAATGAGCAGCAGTTTGCCACCAAGGCGCACATGATTTCCCTTATGCAAGTATAAATTGCCCATAAGATCTTAGCTATGCTGATTTATGATAGATATGGGTTCATATTTGCATTTGTCTTACACAAGATTTTCATGGGCACCAACATTTGCAAACAGATCTAGGTCTTCAGATTAAGAAGAACCACCCCTAAGCATTCTAAGCAATGGTAAGCAATGGTCTGTTATATCTCTGTAGTGCATATGGTTGCACTTGAAACATTATTTTTAAGCCTAGGTCCAAGAGCCCCATTCTGCCACTGCTCTGGTTTGGATGCCTTCAGTAAGTAATTATATTAATTCTTCTTAAATGTAGCTTTCTCAGTTCTGGTCCATTACGAAAACGGTGAACATTCAAACAATATTATTACATTTTATTCCTCTGACTGCTTGGATCTGGAAGCAACGTTTTTCTATGTAGCACAAACAACTCTTGTCATCTAGGACAATCTTCCTTTCAGTATATCTCTATGGCCCAAATTCACTTAACCTAGTTAAGTTACCCTGGCATAACACAAATGATATAATTATTGGGAGTGCATTGCTGTAAGGTAAGAAATTGTTGCAAACATTATCAGTTGTATATATATTTGTACAATTCAGTGTGCAACAGATAACATCTACAGTGATTTCCTAAGTTGGGGCAGTTTATCTCCAAAATTACACCATTGGCATGCTACACAAAAAGATCTTGGCCTGTGCTTCGTAAAACACTAATTGGTGGTATTTTTCACTGGAGCACTTCACACATTAGATTTGCAAGTGAATGTCCAAGACGATTTCTTTATACCCACCCTCCACACACATACACACACACACACATTAAAGTGACAAATATGTGTTTTGCAATTACATGTATGACGTATACTCAGAGAAGTTTCAGGTAGTCATGACTGATTGCAGTTCCTTGTTAAGTTTACATTCAGTGGCCTATCAGTCAGAGTGTGTAAATTGCCACCAGTTAACTTATTTCTAATAGTTCAATGTGTTTTTGCAATTACTGATTTTGCTATTATTATTATTATTGTTTGATTCATGTGCAGCAGACAAGAATATGGCAACCAGACCAGCTCCTGGAAAAATGGAATGGATCATTCCCCTCATCGTAGTCTCAGCCTTGACATTTGTGTGCCTCATACTTCTTATTGCTGTGCTAGTTTACTGGAGGTGAGCCTTTTAAAAGTCTCTACATTAAGTGACCGTAAACACTTTACAACTATCTTTTGATTTCTCTGGCTTATTGTTTTATTGGTGGAGCTATGCTTTTGGCAGACGCACAAGGTATGCCAAGGTATGCATGCCCCAAGGTATGCTTTGCTTAGGCAATATCTCTCTATTTTCCAGTTCCTGAGTTTTGTGTCATGAAAAAGTGCTGTCCTTTGTAAGCACAAAGTTTCAAAGACCCCAGCTAACAGGTCAGGTGGGTGCAAGCCAACATCTGGAGATATAAGGTTGGCAATTTGTGCCTTAGAGCACTTGTGCCAGTCAAGATATTCATGGGCTAGAGATGTGGCATAATGGGTGACCCTGGGCAATATTGCTGGCAGCTGTTTCAAACAGCAAGAAGATACACCACATGGTCCTGTGCATGTTTCATCCAAAGTAAGGCCTAGGCAAGGCTTGTGGTGGGGATGGGTGTTCTATCAATGTCTCCTCATACATCTTACAAAACCACAAAAGAGAGTACCCTTGAAGTGGCTTTTTGATGTTGACAGTGGCCAGTGGAAAAAGAAAGGAATGGTTAAAAAGCACAGCGCTGATGGGTAAATGTATTGCAAACACTACATAAATTAAACTAAAATGTGGGCAAATAGAAATTGATAATAATAAGCATACAAAGATAACTTACTAAATACTGATAAGCGCCACTGATATGTAGTACTGAGAAACTTGCTAATTATTATAAATAATTCAAAAAGAGCAATTCTGTCATTTGGCTGCTGTTACGGAGGCATATGCAAACCTGGCACCAAAGTGAACTTTGGGCTTGGGCATTTCCCTTGCCTCTAGTCTGGCCATGAAGAGGCATTTGCTTCCATGTTAGATCAACTACAGTTTGTCATGACGTCTGAGCCCATGTCCAGTGTGGCTCTTCTTAATGGTAGCTTGTTGCAAGAAGCTAACTTTGAGCTATAGCTTATGAAGTTGTCTTGTTTCGGGTAAACTGTAGTTAAGAGCAAGCATAGTTTTGGATGGTGGACATTTCAGAAATGGAAGCAAAAGCTTTTTCTCTTGCAGTCTGACCAGAAGAGGAAAGTAGAGGGTGAATGCAGGCTTCATGGTTTAGCATCATAGTTGATCACAGCCTTTGACATGCTGGTTGTTCATATCAAGGATGGATAGAAGTCTTTCCCATGGCTATAAAAATGAGGAATGCGCTCTTTCAAATATTCTGTACAAACCAACCACATTTGTCAAAGACAGTGTTTCTGATTGGATCTATTGTGCTTTGTACAATACTGTAGAGTTCATCATCAGTTTACCCTTTCTCCTTTGGAAAACCGAATAGCTTACTACAGTGTATTTCTTTCTCTTTTTTTAATGCTGTTTTGACACAAAAGATCAAAAAACCGAATAGCTTACTACAGTGTATTTCTTTCTTTTAATATTGTTTTGACACAAAATACCAGGTTTTAAAGTTGTGAAACTGCTATCAAATTAGGACTCGCACAGAAAATTAACATAGACTATAATAGGGCAACATGTGGAATCGTTTTGCAAACGAAGCCATCAAAGCAGACAACCTGAAGATGAATTGGAAGGAAATATCAAAATAAATACCACTTACATACACATTCTGTATGTTTTTCAGATAAGACCTAGCTGATGTTGGCTGTTCTTCTGGGGGACAGTCCTCTTAGGTCAAATAGGCTTTTCTTGGCCAGATCCAGACACCTCCTTAATTTTTTCTTGTAAGAGAAGCAAAGGGAAAACATAGGAGAAATGGATTTCCCTTTGGCACTACATGATGTAGGAAATAGAACTTTTTGTCATTTTATGCACTCACACACTCACACACACAAACATGCATTTGAAAGGCAGGATACTTTGAAAATTATGAGAATATAACATAATTATGGCATAAATACAGCATTGATTATAGAAGAAGCCTTTGGTTGCCTGTAGCAGTAACAGTCAGTTTTTTATATATGAGTTAATTGAACTATGAATTTCTGTTTTAGAAGCTAAACACGGTAGCCGTTAGTTAGAATTCCAAAGACATCACCAGTGTCAAGGATATGGAAGCAGAATTTTTATTTTTTGGACTATGACTCCTAGACGCTAGCAGCCTAGAAGCCATCAGCCACATAATGATAATACTGTACAGTAGTTGTTTTGAGCACCACAGCAATTGCAGTGAAGCATATTTCCAAATGAAAATCAGAGTGGTGTACATAGCATGTTCTGCTGGGACCCAGGTGACCTGGGCTAAAAGACCTGCTTAGCCATGGAAATGTAGTAGAGGATCATACTGTGAAAACACTAATTGAACATCTCATGTACCTGGAAAACCCTGCACAGGGTCACCATTAGAAATGGGGACAAACCAGCAGTTCATGCTTGTTTGGTTGCTGGGCATCCAGTTCAACACATCGCTCCCTCCAGCAGGCACCCAGCCAGAGGCAGTGCTGTCCCACCTCCTCCAGATCCTCTCTCCAAGTGGGCACCTGCCCAGAGGGGATGGGGTGCTGAACCACGAAACAGCTGTGCACCTGTCAGTTGAAGTGGCATGAACTGCCAAGCTAGGGGTTTGTGCTGATCTGTAGTCACCATAAGTCAAAAAGGACTTGATGACACATGACAACAGCAGTATTTTATTTGGTACCTGTAGAGTAGTGCTTCCCTACCTTCGGTCCTCAGAACGACAACTCCCAGAAATCCTGGCCAGCATAGCTAGTGGTTAAAGCTTTGGGGAGTTTTACTCCAATAACATCTGGGGAACCAAGGTTGGAAACCATTGCCATAGAGCTTCATGGGGAATACGCACAAGTCCCAAAGAATGTATGAGTGTGGCTATGAGGCCACAGATACAAATCCTGTCTTCAGTTCTGACAGTCCTGTTAGCCACTCTCATTCCATCCCTTTGTTTGGGACACATGAGAAAGCACCACTGAGTGTGTGCATAGAACATCTTTGCACAAAGCCAGAACCTGCATGCCTTGCACATTCTCTAAACATTTTAGGAGGGTCATCTGATACCTCTTCATCATTATCATATGATGTTATTAGCTCATGCTTCCCAATCATTTTCTTCAGTGTTGAGCAAAGCAATGCCCATGTGGTTTACCCATGTTGCCAAGGATTCTTCCTCCAGTCCATGCGGTTCTCCAGGGAAGAAAGGGTGAAATGTGGCTTATATTCAGCAAATGCAAAAATAAACCCTGGGTTGCTGCCCCTTCTTTACATTACAAAAATGGAGTAAAAGGAGGAAAATAGTAGGATAGATTTCTAAGTGGCCATTAAGAATGGGACAGATTTGGATTTGCTTTGCTGTGTTCATTTTTATGGCCAGCCAGATCATGCGATATAATGTAGAACTTAGGTTGCCTTAGTTGATTGTATTACAATAATGCAGCTTGGCTTCCACATATGCTTTGTTGGGGATATACTTGGGATGGAGAGGCTGCCATGAATCTTGGCATCTTTCCAGCGTTTCCTCAACTGTGATTTGTTGGAAGGAACATCTTATGTTCAGGAAAAAAAACGCACATTCTTTCTGTAGTTTTGAGATGCTTAAAGTACCATGAAGAATGTTCTAGCTAGCTTCTGCACACCAAAAATTATACAAAATGTAAAGCCTCTGAATGACCACTACATTCTGAATCCAGAAGAATGGAAAAGGAACTTTGTGCAGTATGTAGGATCTGACCAAGGTTTCAAAAGTGGCTTGTTTTAAGTATGCATTGAATTGTTTTAATTGTATTCCAGTCTTACTAGATGCAGTTCTGTGCAAATACTTGTTTTCACATGTGACACAACTCGCGAAGCTTTTCAAAGGGTATATATTGAGACTTCTAGTAGAGATGAGGTGTAAATATTGTAATATTTATACAGAGAATATACAAGGAATGTATAGGATGTAGGAACATCAAATATTAAGAATAATATTTTAAAAATATTGGAGACATCAAAGTTTTGAGGACAAAACATGGTGGATCATGCCAAAGCAGTGAATAAGGAACTCCCACCTCAATTATATCATGACCAGTCACCACACAGTGTTTCTCAAACTTATGTCTTCCTGTTATTTTGGACTGCAGGTCCCAGCTAATATGGCTGATGGTGAGGGCTCACCGCTGAGGTAGTGAAGTCTGAGTTAAGCAACCAGTAGTGATTGCTTAAGATTATACTGTCAAGTATTATACCTAGCATGTATAAGATTTGTGAAGGAAAATCATATTTTGCTAGTTCTGTTACATATTTTCCTGTTTTAGCCAACCAGTATTTTGGAGAAGTGAATGTCATTCTATTGTCTGTTATAGGCAATAGGAACTTTAGCTTTGATCAAAAAATTCCAACCCTCTCAGCATGCTCAGAATGAACTGCTCTCATTTCCACCAGATATCTTAGCTGTGAACAAAGAGTTAGAGGACCGATGTGGGGGAGCTGTGACCTGCAAAATTTTACTGGATTATAGCACCCATCGTCTCTTTCTATTGTTCATGCTGGTTGAGACTGATGGAAATTGGAACCTGGTTCCAGCTGGACAATCACACAGGTTCCCTGCCCCATACTGAATCGATTATGTACGTAGCGATCCTTTTTCCATAAGAGGGCACAGTTGAGAAAGACTAGCAGATGTGGCAAAATGAACCTTGACCCTAAACTTCATTATGCTTGTATGGTCAATGAAGTGTAAGAGAAATCTTCTATGTGATTACTCTATGTGCTTTATGCCATTCCCTTCACAAATATCAGCCTCTCTGGTAGTAGGAAGAAGTAGTGATAACTTCAAAGTCCCCTTCCTTTCTTCTTTTCCTTCCTTCCTTCCTTCCTTCCTTCCCTCCCTCCCTCCCTTCCTTCCTTCCTTCCTTTTGGGGGGGAGGCAGGGACTGAATTCCAAAATGAAGAGAAAAGATAGGAACAAATTTTGTATTTTATTATCAATTTCTGCCTGAGTCAAGGCTACCTCTGGATGTTGTTGCTAGGGTGATGTTGACATGACC